CTCTATACAATGTCAAAGTCAACAACCTGGTTTATTTTGTTAAGGCTTTAGGCTCTTAGCGCTAGATCGTGCCGTGTATTTCATGGTGGTGGATAAATTTAGCGCTTACGGCACCCGTGTGGTATACAGTTTTGCTTTGGTTCATGTACGGTCTTGATGCCTAGTCCCTGTGAAATGTGTTTTGGCACTGAATGGCCGAGTGGCGTGTGCGAGATCGAGAGGTCACGGGTTCGATCCCTGGCATACCTGACTAGACGTCATGTCCTTGGAGAATGCACTTTGCCCGACTTTCCTGCAGCTATCGAGTGTACTCATGTCATACCGTCGACAAAGATCGTTGAGAGCCTTTTCCTCAAGAATACTTGAAGTCTGCTGAATTTTGCAGGACACATGCACGACTATTCTTAGAGTGCATTTATCTTCCGATCGTACGACAATCGTGCGACGTGTCGTATGTGATCAGCAACAGCACACAGGATATCAAACACTGTGAAAAGATCTGAGAAGACTTCGCCATCATGAGACTGCATACGACCCCCCAAGGAGTCTTGATTTTTAACCTCCTTGGATCCCCAACGACAAATCCTTTGATCCAAAGACACAGCTACTGAAAGTATACCCTTATAACAGTCTGGAACTTCACAAACGATAGCTACACTTGAAGGTCGTAACGTCTGGGGAGTTGTAAAGAAATGGCAGTCCGTTTTCTCACCAAATAGAGACGTACCGCAGACGTCAACAGTAGAACTGTGCTTCATCAGGCTGACAACAGACGTCAACGGGTCATTAGCAGGTCCGACAAATGCCCAGTGCCCTCACTAGGTAGTCGTCACATCTCGCAATGTTGTAAAGAAACTCGCAACCCGTTTTCCCGCCAAAAAGAGAGGCAACCGACACGTTGCCGGTAGAACTGTGCAGCATCAGGCTGACAACAGACGTCAGCGGATAATTAGCAGGTCCGAGTCCAGCCAACCGTTCAGCTTTCACCAGCTCATGCCGCTAACCTGATAACTAATGGCCGGGAGGGGCGCTGGAGTCGCAGCCTGGTATCCACGGTCTTACGTGATTGGAGCTGTTGGGGTGTTCAGGCAGGCTGTGTCTTCTGGATACCAGGCTAAGCTTTCAGCGGTTGATGTCGTTAACCCGGTAAAAAATGGCCGGGAGGGGCGCTGGAGTCTTAGCCTGGTATCCAGTCTTACGTGCTTGGAGCTGTTGGGGTGTTCAGGCAGGCTGTGTCTTCTGGATACCAGGCTAAGCTTTCACCGGCTCATGCCCCTAACCCGGTAACTAATGGCCGGGAGGGGCGCTGGAGTCGCAGCCTGGTATCCAGTCTTACGTGATTGGGGCATAGTAGTTGGGGTGTTTAGGCAGGCTGTAGTGGGGGATGTAGTAGCTTCCCCCGCCCAGTGCAACAGCCGCTCCGGCAGGAGTGTTACGCCAATAAGAGACAGTGTGCTTGGGGGTTTGGTCCCCCCCCCATCACGTGGAGGGCTATTTAAATCAATCTCTCGTGAAATACACACAGGGAAACCTATGTGAGGCCTGCGGGACAGAGCTCTTGCGGCGCCGACCACGATCAGACTGGATACCAGGCTAAGCTTTCACCGACTCATGCCGCTAACCCGATAACTAATGGCCTGGAGGGGCGCGGGAGTCGGCACGGCGGCAGCTACAGAACCTAACCTGTACAGCAGGCGATGTTTCATCCAATTCTGTCAGCAAGGATTCCATAGAACAAAGTAGAGCAAAGTCTCCGATCAAAGTAACGTCCCTGGAGCTTCATCGTCGCTCTGATATGCAGAATCCCGCCTCATTAAACCTAAATTATACGGCAGTAAGGGGCTGTTGTTGGCTTTCTCCTTGAATAACAAATTGACGAGGAAACCCTACTTGTAAAGAATAACCTTGGGCATAAGTCACTGACGAAAATGTCATCCCATTCTGTCAGCAAGGATTCCACAGAGCTTTAGTACATGTAAGACTACCCTTACTGTATCATACAGCTCTAATGAGACGGCATTCTGCATATCTGAGCGACTAAGAAGCTTTAAAGGCATCACTTTGATCAAAGACTTTGCTGCGTCTTTGCTCTACTTTGTTGAAAAGTTTTGGCTTTCTCCTTGAATAACAAATTGACGAGGAGACCTTACTTGTCTATTATAACCTTGGGCAGGAATTCATTATTGTGTTCCGGTGTACACCTGCTCCTTACACAACTTTTGGGTGGCAGATAGCTCGTCATGTCAGGAGAAAAAGTGGTGTAGGTTTGGGTCACCTAGCAGTTTGTTCTGGAACTGCAGGAGCATTGTTCCAAAATCTTTCAAAGCGAATAAGCCCTACTAGTAGATCTCTCTACCCTGCACATGATCGGCCAAAGCTTTCAAAAGTTTGTTCGTGGCATGTTTTTACAGAAGTATGGCGACCTTTGGACTCGCTAATCTCTTTGGGAGACGGGTCCTTTCACTGTGTCTTCCCGTCTGTATATTCAGCGATGGAATCTACCTTGACAAGTCGTCAGCCCGCTTCACTGTAGCCTGGGTGACAGACTGTTACCAGCGTCAGTACTCAGGCTGGCTCTTTGGATCCCGTAACCATGAATGCCATATTTGTCAGGTCCAGGATACAGGCTAGCTCCTCGACTCCAGGGCTAAACTACTGCCTGGATGCCAGACTGTTGCCAGGGCCAGTATAGACTAATAGAGACTAGCTCCTCGGTTCCAGGGCTAGCCTTGGTGCTAGACTGTTGCCAGGGTTAGTCTACAGGTCAGCTCCTCGACTCCAGGTCTAACCTGGGTGCCAAACTGTTGCCGGGGCTCAGTGTACAGAACAGCTTCTCGACTCTAGGGCTAGCCTGGGTGCCAAACTGAACATTACTACCGGCTAGCTCACGGCTACAGAGCTACAGGGTTAGCCTTGGTGCCAGACTGTTACCAGGGCAGTCTACAGGCTAGCTTCTCGGCTCCATGGCCAACCACCCAGTCACCAAGGAAATTTTTACCCTCAGTTATCCCTCAGTTTCTGAGCTGACTGGGGGATGGTTGAGACGGGGGGGTCTGTGTATTTCCCCGAAGAAATGTCTGGCACCCAGGCTACCTTCACCTAGGTTATCACAACTTTCAACCCAGCTGTTTTTCATGAGAGAACTCCGGTCCTGAACTCCTGTTTATTTACATCCAGGTCAACAAACGTGAATGATGAATCGGTACTTCACATCTCAAACGGTCTCTGTTAAGATTAGCTTAAACCATCAGCGGAGGGCAATGCTGATTTATTCATCCTGTAGGACCAAGTGTTTGGATATGCATACCACCTTTTAATAAGATTTACTGTAAGAGGGCCTGCATGCCCTTTTCAGTAGAGCGTAATCGGCCGTATTAATCCTACGTACAGCGTAGACGGACCGCTCTAATTCAACGTAGAGCGTAATTGGTGCATTTTGCGTAGAGCGTATTCGCCGTTTTAATTCTACGTAATGCGTTGTAGCCACTTGGAATTTATCGTAAAGCGTAATCGAGAGGCTTCCGTAATAAGTAGCCAGCTCTCAAAATTTATCGTAGAGCGTTCTTGGGACCCCCCCCATGCAGGCCCCCAGCGGTCTCTATGGAGTACTTGGATTAGTATCGTTAGTACAGAGAGCGGATATTCAGCTTATCGGGAGCCAACAGCTGTAAGTAATATTGCGGAAAAGTAGGTTAACGTCCGTCAGTATTTAGATCCTATGTTATTGGCTTTGGTCCGTAAGTAGACACTTCGCTTATAGTTTTCAAGAAAGTCTATGCTTAGGTTTTGACAAGAATATCAAACAAGAGGAATGCGTCTGTTTTACACTTGGATTTTGGTATGACATGTATACGAACACTGGGAATATATCTGTCAGCTTACTTTATCTATAAAGCAGGCTACAGTTACTTTTAGGTTCAGACACACAACACAAAAGCTCCCCTATCGATCTCCCTCGGAACTGCAGGAAGATGAACCGCACATGCATAAACAGGCGTCTGTAATTTCGACCTGCTTACGTCAATCGCGGCATCATCAGCGGGAGCGTCGTCCCCTGAATTCGGAATCAAGCGAAGCCCGGCCGCGGTGTGTGCTATAGCTAGCTGCAGCTAGCAGTAGCTCCTGATTCTGTCTGAGGGAAGAAAAAAATCCATATTCCGGGCCCAGCCTTTCAATCAGGGACACACACCGACACACGGCAGCACAGCGGCGCAACCAATCGCGGGCACCGCAGATGGTCCGAGCGCCGGCCGCTTGGAGGTGAGCTAGCGGACGGGGATCGACAACACACGTCAGACGATGTGATGTTTTCCACGTACCACCTCACTAGAAGATGTCCTGACGCCGTCCGATCCTCCTGCCTTGATCTATAACAGATACCTGCCTGCGTTTTTCCACAAAATGGTGAGTACTCATTCTCTTGTAGAAAATCAGTAGATGATGTGGACGAAGAAGGCTCCGGAAATATTGTAAACAGTGTGTGGGCGGGGTGTCCTCCTCTAGCTGATGCAGTCAACAACATCATTGCAGCATCCACGATTGCTGTGTAAGAGCAATGGGTAGAGAGAGGATGGTAATGCATGCAGCGCTGCTCTGTTTCCGTGGATTGTGATGTGAGCCATGCTATTAAATCTAGCGGTAATGAGGCTTGCTGTATCTAGCGACGTTCGTGCTTGTTTGTGTGTGAGAGAGAAAGCAAAAGAGAGAGTCACTTGGCTTCAAAACAAGCTCACTGACCTACATGTATACCGAACATAATGCAATTACTGCATACGCACAGTCCCTATTGCATTCGGATTGCCGGTTGTTAATGTTGACGAAATTGTGGCCAAATGTATCTAGATTTAGCAATTAAAGATAGTAAGTACTGATGATTATACTGTGCCTTTATAATACATGTAACGAAGTGGCATCTCAAAATGGATATCAGCTGTTGCAGGAGTATTGTTCATTTTTTCAATGGAGATCCCTGAAGGAGACATGAATACAAACAAGCCTGGATGCCAGACCGTTGCCAGGGCCTACATGTACAAGCCAACTCCGCGGCCTCCAGGACCAACATGCCCTCCAAGGAAGTACTGATCAATGGGCATGTTGGCCCTGGAGACGAAGAGCTGGCCTGAACCTAGGCCTTCGCAACAGTCTGGTATCCAGGCTATTACTACTAGTGGCTATTATTCCAACCCTCTTCTAGTACTGACTAGCCTGGACTCCATTCCTGTTACCTTTAGTTACGCCGCTTCTAACGGTCACTACGGCCCCGGACTGAAGCTAACAAGGCTGGACCCCAGGCTAAGTACTGACCCCTTCAATTCACCCGTGGCTTGACCTTTGATTCGGCGCCGGTGACCTGCGTGCCTATTGAACCCTTAAATCCCTGATCTCTCCTCCCCCTTTCTGATTAGCCTCCACCAGGTCTTTCTGAGGGAATACGGATCGTAGAATTCGGCAAAAAAGGAGGAAAATTGGCCAAAGGAGTCCGGCCAGGTAGTTTCTTTCTCTCCTCTGCACGGCAGAGGCATATATATTCTCCTATATATAGCCAGCGTAGTTAGTCTGGTAGAGACTATTGACTCCTTGATCCCTGATCTCTCTTCCCCCTTTCTGCTCCAGTACGGTTTCGTGAACCACGCTCTGGAACTCCTGGTGGTCAAGAACTTCGGAGAGGAGAAATGGGAGGAAATCAAGTACGTGGTGTGACGTTCATCGTTTTTAAATGATGATTTTTATTGATTTTTCAAGAAAAATACACAGATACAGTGAGCATGCTAGCAAGCCAGCCACAGGCAAAATATGCACAGATAATGTGATGACCATGCACAATAATAAAAGAGAACTTCAGCAATTTCAAATATGATGATAATGATAATAATAGAAATTTAGATTAACTGTAAAAACTGTTTATTCTTTTGAGTTTAATCTTTGTGTTGTCACGGTAAACATAGGCATGACATGGCGACGTTTGCAAAAAACAATAACTGTGTAATATCTATAGAAAACAGGTGGTTGAAACTTGGTTTTAAGAATCAATATTTGACCTGAATTTCACCAAAGATAATTGTAAAATAATTAGTCCATTTCATGTACGCACAGTAATAGCTATCAAACGGTTCTCGTAAATTGATGGTTATGAATTTATTCTTTTAGACTTCAGTTTTTAACAAGACTAGATAATTTTCATTATTTTAAGTTCAAAGGTTGCATCATAGACAGAGCATAGCTCGTAGTTTGTATATAACGATTTAGCCATACGCACATTTTTTTTATTTTTATTTTTTATACCAACATGTAATCACCAGACGTGGTGACGACACACTCAAGTTTTTTCAACTTATATTAATGCCGCCACCAACACGGGACAAATACATGACAGGACAATACTCATTTACACCTGAGCTAAGTGAGGAAAGCCGTGTAAAGTGCCTTTCCCAAGGGCACAAGATCGGTGGCATGTCAGGACTCGAACCCGGGACTCAAAGTTCCGAGTCGCGCACTCTGCCGCTACGCCACATGACCCCACCATACGCACATTAAGCAACAGGCGGTTTTGTCGACACAGCTAATGGCTATTCCTATGGGAAATCGACTTTCAACAGCAAGCATTCTGTAATGACTTTAATAGGGATGCTGTACAAACCATTGTGGAATACGAGCACTTAATTGCTTGCATTTTCAGAGTAAGAAAGACCGTTTTAAATACGCCAAAAAGCAGTTACTCATGCAACTGGATATGATTTTGAAAACGTCAGACGTTTCAGCTAGTATCCACTAGCTTTCGTCAGTGACTGAGAGACCAGAGGAGAAATGCAGGTTTATAAGCACAAACTATTGATTGATGTGGATGTCTAACCTTCATCGACGTACCGTTTTAAATACTTGGAAGAGAATTTCAGCGGTGGTCGCCCTTGTATATGTTTTATATATTTCATACAATATAATTACGTCAACATATTTAATCATGATATGTGATGCACGAATTGATACAACACAACGTCCGTATAGCTCAGATGCACCGTCGTTATTCGTTGTATACAAGGGGTCAAAGACAATCAAATAAACCAGAAATTAAGCTGCGGTCCACCTTTTGTTGTCACGGTTTACAGATGACAGACAAATTATCATCGATTTGACTTGCCTAGCCGCCAGCTTGTGTCTGTGATGCTGTTGTGTTATGATGGCAAAGGAATGGCCGTTATATCGGACTCATAGCGACGTTTGGACGTAGCCTCCGTAGCAGGCTTATAGAACTGGGGTTTGGTGGTCTTCGGCTGTTTTCTGATTAGCGCAGTGCAATCAGAAAATAGCACATAAAAGCTCCCAAAGACCATGAAGACCCCCCCCCCAAACCCCAGTTTTTGGCATGCTATGGAGGCTAGTTTGAACGTGACCATACGCCATCTTGTTATGGCGGCCAACTCATCGTAGATATCATCATATACACTGTGAATCTTATGTAAAGTCCCAGACTCATACGTCGTGCGAACGCAAATTAAGGACATTCTTGAGATACAAGATCGAATTTCGCTGCTTTAATACGTAAAAGGCTACCAGGGGCCCTTGTCGACTTGGGCTGTCATACCATGGAGGTAAAAAAAGACCTCCATGGTCATACACAGCCAGGTTGAGAATCGCAAGACATCAAAAACGTACGACGTGACCGCGCCACGGTTTGATCTACACTTTCATACTATCAAACGAGATCTTTTCCCAACTTCCTTACAGTTTCTAGGTGCTGGGCGCTTGGTTTAACTCAAAATGGATGATTTGACAGTCTGATGTTTACATGCATAACAAGCGTAGTTTGCGTAAGACTGCAGGAGCTGAGTGGTTGTATTGTGAAACAAAAAACCTTTGTGATCTGTTGTCGCTTCTATATCTAGAAAAACAAATCTTTAGTTCCCTTGAGTTTATTTAAATAGCAGAAATTGACAAAAAAATGCATATTTATTTGCTAGAGGAGTCAAGAGGCAGGATAATGCATGGTTACCGTTACTCCGACCAACCAAGTCCTTGCTTTGGGAATTTGACCTACATTTTTAACCAAATTTGAGTGTTTTCATTTTCAGTGCGAAAAGTCGATATGGCTCAAACATATCGAGTGTTATAGGTATTACATAAAATATCATGGTGCCATTTTCCCCCACTGTTTATGCTTTTTACAGAGAATACGCTGAAAGCGAATTCGACTTATTTTTAAACCATCTCACTCTCAATACCGTACTATAACATAGCCTTACACCCAGGCCTTAAAGCAGTACGCTTTAGCCGCTTCTGACAGCAAGGTACAAGGACTATGCACGGCCTTTCAACGCCTGTTAATATGGCTGTCTACGAGGCTGTAGATCCGTTGTCCCAGTTCCGTTCAAAGGAAGCCTTTCAACTGTCTCGCTACACCCAATACATCAGCAGGTCACATAGAGGTGAACCTATTGAAGAACGCGAGCTACTTGGAGTCAAAACGTAGCCTTCTGTGCAGGCCTCCGGGCGGAAATGTTCTGAATAAGGCAATCTTTATGATATTGACACGTACTACTTCACATTTGCACATTTCAATCAGTATTTCATATTTGGGTATTTAAAACTGCAGAAACAAGCCCCAAGATGAGTCCTGGGGGAGGTGCCCCCCAAATCAGCCAAGGGCCCTTCCAGTAACCATTTTCCATCAGAATGTTGGATATATTTGCTCCACGAGGGTCATTTCACATTGAAATAATGTGGTTTCAGCTCATAGAATATTGACTTCACTAGTATATTGACTTTGAAAAAGTGGGTTTAAAATTCCAAGCCCTAAAAACTGCACTGGATACCATTAAGACCTCTACAAAACACAGTACTTATCAAAACTCCCACCCGCCCGGAGGCCTGCACAGGAGGCTAGTCAAAACGTGCCATGAATTATTCCCCACACGCGCTGGAAAGCGTCAGGCGAGGTGTCAGGGGCACCGGGTTACAACAACAGGTCGGCGGGGGCAGGCAGGGGTTAGCCCCGCAGACAACCAGACTGTCGCCTCGGTGAGAGTTAGCGAGCCCGGAAACATCCCAGAGTAACTCACTCGCGGCAATCCGTCAAGCTGTCACCGCCGCTGGATGGAAATTTAGGGGTTGATTCTTCGTTGGTAAATTGTCGGACGTGTGTGAGTAAACTGCTGTCAAGTTAGCCGTGGTCGAAAACGTTGATAGGGAGTCTCGAAAATGTCAAACATGTTCTTTACTTTAGATGACCGTGGTTGTCTGATGTTAACCATTTACTGGTACATTTGAGAAAAATAAGTAGTTTCCAGTTTTCAAAATCACGACGTTGGACATTGAGGTCTTATTTCTACATGTACCCATTTATTTCTACATTTTGACATCAATGAATGACCCCATTCACTCATTATCTTCTGTTCTGTGTTGAAAATGTTACCATCAACGATACTTACCAATTTTCATATTCTAATACAAATTTGCGTCGATGAAGGTTATATTATACATCGAGGTAATAAGAGACTCGTCTAGTCACTGGTGTCATGATGAAAAGTAGTAGATTCTACTCGAAACGTCTGGCAGTTTTCAAAATCTATCCAGCAGCTTGTCGATGTGTAAATGTTTTCTTGCGTAATACAAATTTGGTAGTCTCCACCAGACTCCTTTTGAAGGCTGAATGAATAGTAGAAATCGGCCTAAAAGGGCCAATATATCGAACTATAATTGACCAGAGAAGGTAGCCGGCCAGAGAAGCTCCATTGCCTACACGTGCAGCCTGCAAAAGGAGTCTGGTGGAGACTACAACTTTGGAAGTTTGGTATCGCACGATACGTATAGTACGCTGGCGTTTGAAAAACGGTTCTTGTTCAACTCTATCGACATTTGTCTGTAGTTATAACTGATCTCCCGCTAACGGCCCTCTTCAGGCCGAGTTACTCTTTCTGCTAGGCCATGTTGATTTGATTATATGGATGACATCCTCCGGGAGCCCCAAAACTGATGCGCGCGTGCGAATAAAAAAAAATGTTTTGCAAAAAAAAAAGTTGTTTTCATTATGAAATCTACGTGGTCATGAGGGTTGAACAAATGGGACAGAATATGGTTTGGCGAATAATCTACTCTTCAAGTTCATTTCCTTACAATTTCGTCTTTTTTCGTTTGATTTTGGCATTCTACGACATTGGTATAGTTTTTACTTATTTTTTTGTAACTTACGGTATTATTTTGCTCATTTTGCAACTGTTTTGTACGATTTACAGTATGGTTGAAAACTTTTTTTTTTTTGGAAACGGCCGAAAATTCATGCGCGCGCGGATGTCATCCATATAATCAAATCAACATGGCCTTAGGTGAAAACACGACATGTTGTTGTTACCAGACACGCGGAATGTTGTAACATGTCGGCAGAACTTCACCTCTAGTGATGGACGACGCAGTAATGCACCAGTGATAAACTCACTGTCTGGTCCTGGGGGAGGATTTGTAGGGCTTGAAATTCATTTTTGGGAATAGGTGCACTGGTGCACCTAACCTAAAAATTTGGGTGCACAAAAAACTTTTGCGGTGCACCATGTATAAGATAAAACATGTAAAGATATACCATGTATAAGATAAAAAAAAGTAGAATGTCGGCAAAACTTAATTATGTTTAATTTCTAAAGAAAAGTACTATGGGAAAGATTTTATTATTTTTCTGACACTTAGATGTTAAGAATATGCTGTACACTACTATACAGTGGACATCTTTACATACGTAAATTACGGAAATATTTGGGTACACTGGTGCACCCACAGAAAAGAAATTGGGTGCACAGCTCCAAATCTGGGTGCACTAAGGTGCACATGCACCCATGCCAGTATTTCGAGCCCTGTTTTGTATAGATGGCCTGAAATTCCGGCTGGCGTACTGAGTGTCAGGACGCCTGTTATGTCAATACTAGACAGACACCTACAGTTTACGTCCCTGCCAGTTTTAGTATTTGTTTGTTGACCCAATCAGCGCACGCTAAGTGTACGTGACGTCATGGTGACGACATACGTGATGGGCATGTATGTAGCAAGAGGACTGTGGTATGTTAAGTGCTAGAATGAGTCTAAAAATAGAAATTTCTTTTGAGAATGAACACTGTCGTAATAGGTTTTGCAAAACAACACTTTCATAAAAGAATAAACTATATAGTTCTTTTAATTATATTGTGTTTTTATCATCTATAGAAGAGAAGCTGGAGTCGACATTGACGGCCAATTCCTTGTCCGGCAAATATACGGGGATGACAAGACATACGACTTGGTGGGGGCGGCAACCAAGATCTTACGTAAGTCTGCAGTTCTCCTACACATCGCAAGGCTGCGCCCATGTACGGTGTTTCTATGCCCGTGGTGCTGAAAGCCACAGATACTGCTGAGAATTTCGATATCCTGGATAAGGTCGATGACATGGACCAAATGTCTGTCACCATGGTAACTGGTGCTGTAGCAGACACTCAATGGTGTTGGATTACATTATTGTAGCAAGTGGCAGGACAGAGCTGGAGGGTCTGGTCACCATATATATATAACTCATGTATTTGTCTGTATATCTACATGCTGTTTTAGACCTTACGAAAGTCGCTGTACTTTTGTTGTGTCAATTAAGCTCTGTATAAATGTGTTTGAGTGAGAATTAACAGTGTAGTAGTTTGTAAAGCTAGATCATGTAAAGGTAAACATTATTTGATAACTTGAATATTTTACCTCTCGTTCTTAATTTTTGTTCCTTCAGAGATCGATGCCAACTCGATCCTGGAGCTGTTTGGAGCGCTGTTCTTTGAGTTCTGTCAGGAATCGGGTTACGACAAGATCCTAGCTGTGTTGGGGGCAAACATTAGGTACGCATCACCCAAAATGATTGATCTATTGACTGATCGATTGATATATTGACTTATTGATTAATTAAATGTTTGATCTATTGATTGATTGATTAATCTAGATAATGTCTAAGAACAGCTATTTACCCTTAAGAGTTGAAGTAGAATTCCTCCTTATAGATTATCTTGCAACAAGGAATCATGCATAAGATTTCAGACTTCCGTGAAATGTTTGAGGTTTTCCTGGAAACCTCATACCACATCTCACCACCCGTGACATACCCAGGCCACAACCCTGTCAATCAACTGAAACCTGTCCTGGATTTCATTGGTTGGATCTTTTTCCCCTTCCACAGAGATTTCCTACAGAACCTGGATGCCCTACATGACCATTTGGGTACCATCTATCCGGGCATGCGAGCTCCGTCTTTCCGGTGTACAACACAGGAGGACGGCACCCAAAACAATACTTCTGTGAAGTTCTGTCCTCAATTTCAATGGTCAAATCTTCACGGTCAAATTTTCCTCGCTTTCACAGAGATTTCCTACAGAACCTAGACGCCCTGCATGACCACCTGGGTACCATCTACCCCGGCATGCGGGCCCCGTCATTCCGGTGTACAACCCAGGAGGACGGCACCCTGATTCTCCACTACTACTCCGAACGGGAGGGGCTGGAACACATCGTCATCGGCATCGTCAAAACTGTGGCCAAGAAACTACACAATGCTGAGGTGGATGTAAGTTGACATTCTATCTTTCTAGAGGTATTTAAAAAAACAGGTTCTGCTGCAGTACCATAAAAAGTCACCAGGGGTGCATAGCACATGGTCATCAGTATAGTCAACACTGTGGCCAAGAAACTACATAACGTGGGCATAATCTTTCTTGAGATACCAAAAACTAGGAGATTATGTTGCAGTATTATAGAAAATCACTTGGTGGTGCATAATTGAACCAACATAACATCAATGTGGACATTAAGTGTTACCTCTATTCTTTCTAGAGATATGAGAACCAAAATGTTATGCTGCAGTATCATAGAATTACTTACTTACTAGGGCTGCATGATTGTCCCTTCTTTGCCATAACCAACTCGTGATCTAACGTACATCTATAAATGTACTCGAAGTATTCAAGGAGCACAGAACAGCCCCTTCCTCAACATTTCTCTTTGCTCCCCCTCCAGGTTCAGATCATCCAGAGAAAAAGCGAGGAGTCTGACCACGTCAAGTTCGCCATCTTGGAAAAGGAGGATGTCAGACGATGTTCTGCCAATGACCTCGACATCTTCGACGTGGGACTTTCGCGGGAACCAAAGATCAGCCCCGCGACGTTCTGCCGAGCGTTCCCCTTCCACGTCATGTTCGACCGTAACCTGGTCATACAGCAGGCAGGGACATCAATCAGCCGAGTTATTCCTCAGGTAGGTTTGCTCATGGCCCAAGCAAGGAGCTCCTTAAATTGGGACTCCAAGGTTTCATTCAAAAGCCCCACTGCACTACCAAACAAGCCACTAGGGGGGTCAAACATACTAGTACACCACTCATCTCATATGTCCCAAAAACAAAGGGTTGGAAATCCATGTTTTTTGTTAATTTGTAATATGGGACTGAATAGCAAATTTCTTTATTTAAAAATGTCCGTCTGTCATCTGGCTTTACTGTGCACTTAAGCTAGGTGTTACACCAACCTGATGAAATTATTCATGGATGTAACCTGGGGGCATTTAGCGCATTTGTCATGTATATCTGGCCAAAGTTTTCACTTATGCATTGAGAGATTACTAAAAGCACTTTGCTCCTCCCCAGATCTGCCTCCAAGAGTGTAAGGTGTGTGACCTGTTCGACATGGTCCGGCCTCACATCAAGTTTGCCTTTAACTGGTCACAAGTTAGACAAAAGACTTCCCTTATTGTGTACATCGCTTTGAAAATAAATACTAAAAGCATTGTTTTTTTTTGCTCCTACCCAGATCTGCCTCCAAGAGTGTAAGGTGTGTGACCTGTTCGACATGGTCCGGCCGCACATCAAGTTTGCCTTCAACTCCATCACGAGTCACATCAACACGGTGTTCGTGCTGCGGACCAAGGAGGGCCTCATCGACATATCGTCGGGCGTGTCCCGCGACAAGCTGATCGGGAACGAGTCTTCTCGCATGCGGCTGAAGGGACAGATGATCTACGTAGAGGAGTCTGATTGGATGCTGTTTCTCTGCTCCCCAAGGTATGGTTGGTAATGGTAAAAAAAATGTATGGACATACTATGCCTGCGTGAAAGCCGCAATGTATTGTGCATGGTGCTTCATAAGAACGTCTCATTTAAGGTCGTATTTGCGTCTTTGACAATGGCACCTCATCTACAGTTTTCGAATGTTGTGTCGGAAAAACTGTCGACTGCAACAGGCAGAATGCTGTTCGGCAACATGGACTAAATATCCAACAAAAAACTGTAAAGAATCTGGGTTCCGTGCACGCACAATACGTTTTGCCACTGTACCTGTAACACGTAAGAATTTGGCAAATGCCCACTCAGCGTGTGTCTCACCACCAATGGAGGACCACATCATGTTCTATAATTGACTGTAACAATTTTCAGTGTGATGAACCTGGATGACCTGAACCGGCGTGGCCTGTACCTGTCGGACATCCCGCTGCACGACGCGACTCGGGACCTGGTGCTTCTCTCGGAGCAGTTTGAGGCAGAGTACAAGCTGACACAGAAGCTGGAGATCCTGACAGACAAGCTGCAGCAGACATACCGGGAACTGGAGGATGAAAAGAAGAAGACTGACAGGTCAGGCATTACATCCTCAGGAGCAGAATTCATGTGGTCTCGTGGTAAGAATCTGAAGGTCCTGGAAGGCCCCACTGCTGTGTCCTTGGAAACGGACTTGTTATGTTTATCTTCGGAGAGGAAAAAATACATTGTTTTGCTCTGTTTCCTTCTTCTTCTCCAAACACATATTAAGGCCAATGACCTGCACCAGATATCTGTTACCATGGTAACTGGTGCTGTAGCAGACACCCTGTGGAGTCAGATTACATTATGTAGCAAGTGACATGGAGGGGCTGGTCTCCATATAAATACATGACATTGTATAAATGTGTTTGAGTAACTGGGCAGTAGTTTGTTCGGCACAGAACATGTAAATGTTATGCATGGCAACGCTACGCCTTGCAAATATTACATTTCTTTTCTTCAGAATAAGATACATTTTATACATGGTACTTATTTTGCACCTGTTTCTGACCTGCTCCAGACTGCTGTACTCCATCCTGCCCATCTCCGTGGCGACAGAGCTCCGTCACCACCGCCCTGTCCCCGCCCGGCGCTTCGACAACGTCACGCTGCTCTTCAGCGGCATCGTCGGCTTCAACTGCTTCTGCAAGCGGAACGCCTCCGCAACCGGCGCCATGAAGATCGTCAAGCTGCTCAACGACATCTACACGCGCTTCGACGACCTCACCGACCCCAAGAAGAACCCGAGCGTTTACAAGGTGGATTATTGACCCTCTTGGAATGATGGGCCAAAATTTCGTCTTTGTGGTAGAGCAAAGATTTACCACATTTGTACCACATTTACCACTTTTGAAAATGCAAACCAGACTGTAAGGTTTGAACCACTCATACCTCGATAGACACCTATACTGCCTATACTTTTCAACAAGTGTAGAGGAATCTAACCGAAGCTAGGTACTCATTTTCACCTGAGTAGTCAGAGGAAATAGGTGTCAAGTACATTTCTCAAGGATACAGCATTGAGGCCTGCCAGAGATTCGAGCCCAGAACCTTCAGATTCTGAGCAGAGTCAACAATGGCAAACATCCTTAACCACAAGGCCACCTTGCCACCTGTGACTGAGTTTGTATCCTCCTTGCCATGACAGTAGAGAACAGTTTAGTTACTTGTTTTTTTTTTATTGTTTCTCCCTGCAGGTTGAGACAGTAGGAGATAAGTACATGGCTGTGAGCGGGTTACCGGAGCCGTGTGTTGACCACGCCCGCTGTATCGCCCGTCTGGCGCTGGACATGATGGACATCAGTCACCAGTGTAAACAGGAGGACATGGAGGGAGTACAGGTACGGCAAAACAGAAAATAAACATTCACATTCACCTACATGTATAATATAAACCAAGTACATTGGCCAGGTTTGGTGCAGGTAGACATCAGAAATACGAGTGCAGGCACAGCTTTACTTTGTGACAGCTTTACTAACTTGTGATATTTTAAGCTCTGTTAGTATAGTCCTTTAAGTTTAAGTCTACCTCTTGCTCTTGAGCTGAAGTAGTGAAACATAGGCCATGGTGTAATACCAAAGTAAGATATATCATACAATTGTATGACATTCTATGACATAGTTCAATATGGCATTTCCCCATGATCATATGATACTTCCAATACATTCACAGATACTCAAGACACTTCCCAGTCTAAAATCTGCAATTTCTTGTACTTTGTATCTAAGTTTATTGATGACATCACCATCTCATTGGTCTCCTCCCAGATCACCATCGGTATCCACAGCGGGGAGGTGGTTGCTGGGGTCATAGGTCAGCGCATGCCGCGGTACTGTTTGTTCGGGAACACGGTCAACCTGACCAGCCGGACTGAGACCACGGGGGTCAAGGGGCACATCAACGTGTCCGAGTACGCTTACAGGTGAGATATGTTAAGTTATCTAACTTAGTGCATTTGTCCCATGTAGGGTGTGAATATGCAATAAAGTTCATTTTCATTATAACCTTGTTCAGTGCCAAGAACAGGTATGTTTACCTGTGTGTGGATGGTGTTCAGCACCAAGGACAGGTGTTTTTACCTGTGTGACTGTGTGTGTGTGTCTTAGAACACTTACAGGTGAGATACAACCATGTTCAGCACCAAGGGCAGGTGTGTTTGCTTGTGTGTGGATGGTGTTTAGCACCAAGGACAGGTACTTTTGCTTGTGTGTGGATGGTGTTTAGCATTAGGGACAGGGGTGCTGGTGTGTGGATTTTGTTCAGCACCAAGGACAGGTGTGTTTGCCTGTATTCGGATGGTGTTCAGCTATAGGGACAGGGGTGTTTGTGAGTGGATGGTGTTCAGCACCAAGGACAGGCATGTTTACGTGTGTGTGGATGGTGTTCAGCACCAAGGACAGGTGTGTTTGCCTGTGTGTGGATAGTGTTCAGCACCAAGGACAGGTATGTTTACCTGTGTGTGGATGGTGTCCAGCACCAAGGACAGGTGTGTTTGCCTGTGTGTGGATGGTATTCAACACCAAGGACAGGTGTGTTTGGATGGTATTCAGCTATAGGGACAGGGTTGTTTGTGTGTGGATGGTGTTCAGCACCAAGGACAGGCGCGTTCACCTGTGTGTGTGTGTGTGGGTGGGTGTGTGTGTGTGTGTGTGTGTGTGGGTGGGTGTGGGTGTGTGTGGGTGTGTATGGGGGGGATGGTGTTCAGCACCAAGGACAGGCATGTTTTCCTGTGGCTAATTCTTGATCATAATGCAAAGTACACATCTACATGTATAACCCTTGTTTCTACAGAGCTCTGATGCAGCCAGAATGCCATGACCCTGCTTTCCGGTTCGACTATCGGGGACCGGTGCAGATGAAGGGTAAGAAGGAGCCCATGGAGTGCTGGCTACTCGCGAGGAGGTCTCGTGAGACTGTCGTGTGAACTGCCGAGATCTTGTGAGACTATTGGGCAAACTGTTGAGATGTCGCTAGACTGTCCTGTGATCTGTCAAGATTTCACAAGAATTGTATAAACTGTTGAGATGTATTGAGAGTGTTGTGTGAACTGTCTAGATCTCACAAGACTGTCGAGCTCTCATGAGACTTGTGTAAACAGGTGAGATCTCTGTTGGGTAAACTATAAAGATCTTGTAAGACTGTTGTTTGAACTGTTAAAATCTTGCAAGACTGTTGTTTCAACTGTTGAAATCTCGCATAAACTGCTGAAATCGTGTGAACCAACATCATGTGTAAACCAGTACAGTGTTAGAGTAAAAGTCCCAAATGATTCTGTACTCACAGATGATAACCTGTTGTTTGTGCACATTCTGTAAATTAATAGATGCTAACTATGAAAAGTTATGTTATATATAAAATAGATAAACACGTGTATCAACAAATATATGGATTTTATTTTACTGAGTAAGATCTATATGTATAGGAACACAATAAATGAGCAGTTAGATCTACGTACTTAGTATATTTCTAGTAGACTGTATCAAGTATCCTGTGTCTTCTATGTTGATTTGATGGAAGCTGGCCAAGTGTCCATTTTGTATGGGATACTTGCAACATGTCCGATTCTAACTGTACTGTGTTATACAAGTTTGTTTGTTTGGCTTTAAACCTCCAAAGACCAGTGCCAATGTTCAAAATGTTAAGTATTTATGGATACAGATAAGCTTAGTAATGTTACTTAATCATCTTTGTCCTGATAATTGTCTACATGTGATCTTATATGTGCACCTGTAACATAAAAAAAGATAGGAAAGGACAAGTTATTATGTTTTAAATGTGCACTATACATTGGTAATGTAGATATTTCCTGATATTACTGTTATTTGAAGTTATCAGCACTTTTACCTGTTTGTAACAATGTCAAGTTTGATCTTCAAGAACATCAGTGAATGTAAGGTGTATGTTTCGGACATGGAGAACGAAAGAACCAACTGTACTTAGCTGTATCTGCCTGACACCAGTGTGTAATATTGACTGCGTATGTACATGTATATACTGTAGTAAGCCATATCTTTGTTGTATCATGACTGGGAAAGTGAAGTGTACATTCTAATTGTAACAGAGTTTGTACATTAAAAAGTGGAACGAGTTTAACTTTGTTCAGTCATTGTATTTGCTTATGCAATTGCACCCACTAGCCAGCCTTGCATGCTACCAGTATTCAGTTAATTTCTGCTATTGTAAAGCCTATAGTAGAGACTGACCAATTGCAAGTCATTGCTTTATTGCGATTCGACAAATTCGTTTAAGAAATAGAATAGCACTTACATATACCCTTTCAATGGTTTCCACGCATACCAATAGTAACTTATATGTATGGTGCATTTCTTACACCAATCACTAGGAGTCGCTTTTGCACTATTCGCACGCACAGTGTTGTGCAACTGTAATTTTACACCGCGAAGTTGCGAACTGATAGATATTATTTGCAGTGTATCAGTGGAATCGTACGCGCCTTGTAATTTCAACTACACCATTTCGTCCCTGTTTCTTCTAAAAAATTCTCCGTCGCTGCACAGTGTCTTCACATGTATAGTTACGACTCGCCTTACATCGCTTAATATAATATCGCCATAATACCCCCCTTCACGCAGATCCAGGACGTCCGAAACAAACATAGAAGCATGAAGAAGGGAATGAAAGAAAGTTTCCCTCCCTCACCTTTCATATAAACATGAAACGTCTTCTTCCTGTCCGCCATCTTGGATTTGGAATTCCCGCCTGGAGGTGCGGTGCATCATGGGAGAAACTTGTTAGTCCGTTGCTAATCGGTTTATGTCAAATTTTTTTATTAGACAAATTGTTGATAATCGCTAGCAAGCGAAGATTTCAAACATAAGGTAAGTGCTTTGGGTTTTGGGGTTTGTTTGTTTATTTATGTGTATTGGAACTGCATGGTGTAATTTTATTGTGTTTAACACCATACGACAGTTCCCACTGGGAAGCGAAACTGCCAAATTCACAAGTAAACCACCCAAAACAATACTAGTGGCTCCACCGAAAAGTGTATATAAATGGATGTTCGGCATAATACCTCAGTAGCAAGTAGTTGCAGTACTTCCTTAAATCGCTGCGAGTCTCTTTTGACACGCAACAGGGGATGTAGAGTTGTGTCGGCAGCATTTTGAAACGTAGTAAATGATGAACGTATGATCCATTATAACCTCTACAAGGCTTCGGAAGGCGGCTGTAAAGAGTAGAAATTGGTCGAATAGAGATTAACATATGCCAGGGGAGTTGGTCTGCTGGAGAGTAGTCTATATTCGGGTGCGGCAGACTGTACTCTCTAGCTAACCAACTCCCCTGGCATATGTTATCCTCTATTATTTGGCCAATTTCTACTCTTTCCAGCCTCCCGAAGCCCAGTATAGGCTAGGCGTAGAAGTATTTGGTACAGATTTGCGTGTATAATGATGATTGAATCGTATTTTATTCCCCACAAACCCTGTCCTGTAGATTCTTGAGAGTTATTCTGAGTAGCCTCTACCAGGCTCCGCGGATCGCTGGAAAAATAGTAGAAATTGGCCGAAATAAAGGGATAGTATACCAGAGAAGATCCAGGGCCATAGAAGCTCAAATTGGATCTTCTATGGCTCGGGATCTTTTATTTATCCCTTTATTTCGGCCAATTTCTACTATTTTTCCAGCGATCCGCGGAGCCTGGTAGAGGCTAATTCTGAGTTCTTATCTCATTAACAAATCCGAGTCAGGAATCAGAACCACCTGTTCTCAACCTGCGAGCTCCCAAACGTCAAACTCTCAACCGGAAGTACAGCAGACACCAGAGGCCACAGCTAATAAAACATGTTCATTGGCTGTTTTCATGATCTGTTTGTTTACTCTATGGAGACGTCCCGTTTTTTGTGGCCCAGATTTACATCTAGTTTAATCCACCACAGTCTCTCCTGAATAAAGAGACTCTTTTTACACAACCAAGTCTTTTATTCAGCCGACGTTTCGGTGACCGTCTGTCACCTTCCTCAGGGCAATTCTGACTGCACATTGCATTACAGCAATTGGTTGTGTAAAAATAGTCACTTTACTTAGTGTCTTACCAACCTGATGAAACATTTCACTTATATGGGGCACAGTCTCTCCTGAAATAGTGACGAACACCAACTACTTTTCGGGTCTAGCATTCCAACAAGTGTCAGATCTTCGATGTTTGGTAAGCTGAAAATGCTGACTCGTGATTTTCCAAAAATTGTCGCCTTAGGGATTGGTAGTTATGTCTATTAAAAGATATTTATATGCGATTTCCTGGTCAAAGCTTGGTGTGTAAAGCGTTGTGGTTTGTAACTTAAAGTGTACACCAGTATCTTTCATGATCTTTTATCGATAAACTTCATGAAATTAAGGAAATTTAAGGCCGTGTCTTTCCCCGGCAATGTATGTTTAAAACTGTAAAAAAAAACAATAAAACACCCATAAAATTTATTCCAAATCAGTGAGTACTAGTCCGCGTTTCTTTGGTAAAATTAGTTAGCTTCACAATTTACCAACGCTGGAAGCTAACGCGAAATTTAAACGAGACTGTGTTGGTCTGATTTTAGAATCCCTGGTATCTTAAAGGCTTCGAAATTACACAACGGTAGAGACAAAATATCAACCTCTCAGTAGACAGACCCAAAATCCTTTTTAGGAAATATCTCCACCTTTCCGTCCGCGTAAATCTTTTAAAATCCCTGACAAAGCCCAAACCCAAACCTCGTCTAGCGTACGGGGAATATTCGGTACCGAAAGTCGCTGTTTTGTGCAAAAATTGCATCCGCGTCCGGAGCGTTTTAAACTAGCCTTTACCAGGCTTCGGGAGGTGGCTGGAAAGAGTAGGAATTGGCCAAATAGATAGATAACATGTTTTTATTACAAGTTACAAGTTTATTAAAAGTCCAAAGGAGCTCGCGGGCAAAAATTGCCCAAATTACGTCCTGGTTACATAATGTTGGGAGAGATGGTCCGCTAGAGAGTAAAGTGTGCGGCAAACTGTACTCTCCAGCGGACCGACTCTCCCGGCATGTTATCTCTCTCTATTTGGCCGATTTCTACTCTTTCCAGCCGCCTCCGGAAGCCTGGTAGAGGCTAGTTTAAAACAGCATCAGCGACCTCCGAGACTTTTCAAACCATATTCTCTCTAGCCTCTACCAGGCACCGCGGTTCGCTGG